AACATTGAAGTGTCCGGCGAGAAATGTAAAACAATATTTTAAGTATATATTGGAATAAAAAGGAAATGTATGTCTTTTCTTAACAATATGTTAAATGCTAACAATTAAAAGAAAAAACTTCATAAGTATTCCTACACTTCCTATGAAGTTTTCAAATACTACTGAATGCAATCAATATACTCAAGTACTCTGGAAAAACGGAACAGTGTTTTATGTAGCAGAGCTCTGTTGAGTAACATTGCTCAGTTCCTCAAATTTATGATGTTCTCTTTTTTTGTTCCTATCTTTTTAAGTACTCTAAAATATATGTTCCATTTACTCATGTACACATGTGAAGAGTATTGCAGTGCTTTACTACATACTATGGATATACAAATAAATGGTCCTCTGCAATAAAGACACAACCCAAAACTAAAAAAAAAAAACCCTCACTACCGAACAGGGGCACATGTCCCTAATCCAGTGGTATAATCCTTACTAAATCTTTATAAAGCAATCATAAAGGTTTAGTAAGTATTAGACTGTTCAATAGTAAGGGGTTTTTTTTTTTTAGTTTTGAGTTGTGTCGTTATTCCGGAAGACCGTCAATATGTAGACAAACAAACGCCGCAATGGAAAATTTTCACATTTTTTCTAAGTGCGAACTATCACAATGCAGAGGGTAAAGAAATTAAATAAAACCAAACAAAAGTGATACACAAAGCAGAAAAGAAAAAAAATATCACTAAAACTGTTTAGAAAAAACATAAGAACCGAGGGATACGATAACTAAACAAAGAGAGAAATAAAAGAGGCAGCATAAAAGCTTTAAATTCCAAAGATGAATATAGGAATTCTTAATGTAAGAATGCCGACTTTTTGGCACTTATTCTTATGTAAATTATAAATGTACATACATACATATGTATGTATGTAGAAAAGTACGCTCCTATTTGATTTGTAAACCTTTTAAGCCATGGCAGAAATGACTAATAGATAATTTATTTATGATTTACTAATTATGAGCACATTTTAAGTAGCTTTAAATATTTGTGTATGGGTGGTCACGAACGTTGTCTATAAAATAGATATAGTAATTAGCTTAAACATTCTTAGTTTCAATGGTGGGGATGAAAATTTAAATGAATATGAATATATAATATGAATATGAGTATGCAGGTTGGTATGCTCGCATAGTTTTTGTCAAACCAATCTAGATTTTTTGGGATTGGCTTGAATAGATATGCATAAAATATTGTTCGCCGTATGTACATATGTTTGTACTAAAAATCATTTTTTTGCAAATATTGTTAAATTATAGCAGATGCCGCAAGCCTTCAGCTGTGATCGATAGAGGATATATCCGAACGTAGATACATATGTACTTATGTACTTATGCAGTTGTTAATACGCTTGGAATTCAGTGCAATGCAATACGTATACATTTGCACAAGAGTAGACACATGCATATGTAACTTTTAAATCGAATGTTATTCTATAGGCCGGCTGGTGATACGTTTTAAATTAAACAATCAGATAATTATAATTTATTAGGTACATATGCATGTATATTAATGTGGTCTGATTTTTGTATGGGGGAAAAAAATTTTGATCCTAGGAAGCGGGGCACCCACTTTTTATATTTGTAATATCTATACCAACTTTCAGTTTTCTACCGCAACCAATACAGGGTACTCAGTGACCTTGAAATGCACTACTGGATCGCTGTGAAACTGGAAAAAATATTGGTGATTTTTATAAAAAGGTTCTGTTGCCATGACAACTAAAGTTCTCAAAAAAATTCTAAAAAATCGGGTTAAAAAGTTGAAAATTTAGATGCAATTTCGCAGAATTTTTATAATTTTTGCAAAAAAAATTTGAAAAATGAATTTATATGGTTTTTGTTAGATAATGAGCTATACTTTTATAAAAATAATAATAAATATTAAATGAACAAAATAAAAATAGGAAAAATTTGTTAAAATGTCGTGTCCCTATTTATTTTTCCACCCCTGTATATAAAAGAGCAGCTGCTCAAAGTTTAAAATCGATATACTCTATACTGTAGTGGTCCAATTCTAGAAGGATGCATATCCACGTATTCGTCTCGGGGAGGAGGTTTATACATAGCTAGGTTCAAAAAGAGTTTTCACCTGCTAAAAATTAAATTAAATTAATAGCATTATTCAAATATCGCAATACGGTTGTCAAATGGCAAAGGGTTTAAGAAAGCTAATTATAAAAAAAATCTTTTCGAAAGGGTTGCCACCTGTTTGAATAACTAGATTCCATTAACTTGATTAGATAAAAGAATTATTACAATATGGGTGTCAAACGAAAGAGATTTAAGAAAGCTCACTTTCCAAGATATTTTAAAGAAGATTGCCACCGGCTACAATAATTAACTTCGATTACTCATTTATTTATTTATTTAGTCTAAATTAAATCATGTATACAATACAAAGTTGTTTATGGTAGTGTGACATCGATATGCTCTATGTTGCCGCATGTTAAAAAGTTAAATTCAATTAAGTTAAATGAATTATGTACTGCAATACGGGTATCAGTCGAAACGGTTTTGGAAAGGCTGCATTTCTAAAGTACATGTGAACATGTGAAAGGTACCCACTTATTTACAAAACTATACTACTATAAAAATATACTGCATTTTATGTTAAAGTTAAAAAAAGTTCAGTTGATTTTTTTGGTATTCGTAATATTAAAAAAAAAATAGGTAAGTAATAGTGAAAAATCAGCATCTCCATCGAAAATCAGAAACCAGAAATCGAGGAAAATGAATATTAAAACTCTTTTTTAACATTTTTTATTACTGTAAGAAGTTGAGCGTATCTTGTGTTTATACTTAGAACTTTTTATTAAACAAGTAATTTTTAAGCAAAAAGCCTCAACCAACTTCAATTCTCATTTAGGAGTACCGTTAATTGTTTCATGATCGAATCTAAACCAAGTTAAGGGACGACCCTTGAGGTACCATCTTTCCGATAAAAAAAAGAATTATTGAAATCCGTTCACGTGATCCAAAGTTATGCGGTAGCATACGTAAAAGTAAACTTCGTGTAAAAACCTGTAAAACTGTCAAATAACAAAATTACTTACTCTCTTGAAAGAGAAGAGCAAGAGCGAAATAGTAAAGTCACCTGGAACGCGAAAAGCCACTTTTCCTGCAGCTACTTCAATTTTTTTTAACAAATGTAAGGTTCTTTGCTTTCACTGCGTTCTGTTTTTGCCTATCGTTTGACACTTTTCATGAACTTGCAGAAAGAAAAACTTCGGACTAAAACCGGCAATTTCTGACTGAGAGGTTTTTTGGCACCTGGAACGTTTTCCTGTAAAAAAAAACCTGCAACTCGTGAATATCGTGAGCATCTGGAACATAAGTAAAGAAAGAAAAAATATTCCGACGAATTAATAACCTCCTCATTTTTTTTTTTTGAAGTCGATTAAAAATGTTTGAGTTCTTTTTTAATTTTATGTAAATAAAGTGCAATTTATGTGACTTTAAAAAGTTTATTTATTTATTACATACTATACATAAAACTTGCATAAATGTATTTTTAAGAGCATATTTTCAGTATTTTCTGGTGATATATCTTTAGAAGTATAAATATGTACATACATACATATTTCTCATTCTATTTGTTACTTGAAATAATGGCGCGTATGCATAAGAGTTAAATAATTGCCTTTTCTTGTGATTTTAGACCATTTACTTAAAATTATTTGAATAAATTGAGTATAAGGTCTGAAATGTTAACAAAAAGCAATTATTTATATATACTTTATATATTTTATTCATACGGCCCAATCAATAGCAAGTAAGAGGAAATAATACTTTAGCAAAGCGTAGTATTAAATGTACGAAATTTCTTTAAAGCTGCATATTGGTTTAAGAAATTGTAGAAGAATAAATTTCTTTTTTCATTTCTTGAGCGTTTTTCTATACGAACATTGTTTTCCTTGAGAGATAGGTGTGTAGATAGTATCTAAGCATTTTGCGAAAAAAAAAATTGAACGACGTGTGCTCCCTACGGTGGATGAATCAACTTTATATTTTTTTTTGGCACTGGCGATCGTACAATAGTCAAGGGATTTTAAAATAAATTGGTGTAATTAGCAGTCTGTTAAAGGTTAACACGCGCCACAAAAGGAGGCGAAAAATATGTTTTTCCCTTTTATTAAGCATTTTTAAATAGAAATACCATTTATATTAAGCATTACGTCAAATGCTCACATGCATATTTAATTAGAAAGACATACATGCATCCGCGGATGTTAGCTCTTAAACATCCGCATCCGCATTCGCTTCCGCGGTTGTCTAAAATTCTACATTTGCAACATCCCTAATACATACATATGTGCATTTAAAAGTATCCCCGGCAGGCAATTTTGCTGTGAATCTTCAGACAAACGTTGAACTACACACCTCCGCTGAACATATTTCGAGAACCATTCAAGTTCGATATTCTTTCTTTATTCTATGGCTCGATCCCCCTTAACTTGTCGTTATTGCACTGTTTTAAATATTTTAAAAACAGCTGCCTATGGTATTTTTCAAAATGAGTGTTTCTTTTGAGACTGGCAGTGTTAATACCGTGTGCGGACACATTCCTATACAAGTACATATGCGATTCTCTGATTGCATAATGGTTGAAGCGTACTCAAGCATTGCCGGCAAGCCCACGCAAAAAAAGCAATAATAAATACTCGTATGTATATTATAAAATCAAGTTTTTAGTCCAGTGATGAGTACCTGAGATAAAAAAGCAAAATATTTGCAAATGAAAGGCCATTGTCACTTTCGTTCAGCAACGCTTTTCAGTGTTCATATTTGTGGATATGTAAATATATAATATTGTATGTAGTATGTATATAGTGTATATATACCATAGATAAATTCTTAAGAATCGTTTGTTAATTGTATTCATTGGCAGTAGCATATACGTATTTTAAATTTCATAAATGTTGCAGGCTTTCTGTTTAATTCTTCCGCGTTTACTCACCTTTTGCCTCGTCGTTTGCACGCGCAGCCGCTGCCACTGCTACCGCTGCTGCAGCAACTGCATTTCCCGTTGCTGCCCCTTGATGATGTTGAGGTGACATTTGCAACGGTGTTGGCAAACCCGATGACGGTGCTGATGATGATGATGGCGACGATGACGACGGTGATAAGGACAACGCATGCTGATCCTTCAGCTGTTGCAGCGTCGTCAACTGCTGCTGCCCCAAGTTTTTGGCGGCATGCGCAGTATGCTGCAGCGTTTTGGGCGCTGCTGTGGTGCAAGCTGCAAATAGCATTCTGAAGCGTAGCTGGATTTCTCCTGTCTTCAGCTGCTGCTGCTGCTGTAACTGTAACGACTCCTTCGGCTGTACACCTTTGACGCCGCCGTTGCGGTGGAGAGCATAAACTTCTGGTATATGCTGAAAAAGGCAACCACTGTTGTAGTCGCTGGTGTATTTGCGCAATAATCGAACACCCGGTAAACTTATGTGAGCACTGCTCAACAACTATTTACCCACTAAGCGGTGTTACGAGTATAGATGGAAGTGTGAATGTTGTAACACACAGAAATCGCGATAAAACAATTATTTTGCAATTTGCTTTGGGTGCAACGGAAATTTTACGGGGCTCACACGATTGCAAAAATCTAAGAATAGCGAAAGACTCTTGCGCTCACTGCAGCTTGTATACTTGTTGGTATTGTTGAATCAGAGGTGAGTGCAATTGCTTCTCTCTGGTCCAATATTTTCACAGGGATAGTCTGCTTGTTTTTGCTTGTGTACAACAATTTTATACATACATAAACTAGAGGCAGCTTCGAAGCTCTCACAACTTATATCTTCTTTGGTTGCACCTGTTCTTGGGCGTTTTTCCACTATTCCTCGCTATACTACTCTTCGTAGGATTTCGATTTTTCCTGGACGCTTCGGTATTGCTGTTGTACTTATATATTGATGCCAATATGGGCTGCTTCAATGGGCGTGACACTTTTACTTGTTTTATAGAAGAATCTTAAACGAGACACTTGAAAACTCTGAAAAATCACTATACGCGATATATGTAGGTACATATGATATACGTTGCTAGAACAAAATCAAATCATTTAATAATACAGGTTTGGTGATTTAAATTGCAATTTTTTGCATTTCGCGCATTACACACGCGTCCGAAAAAATAAATATTTAGTAGTTCCGCACACTCCCGCTCTTTTTTACAGAATTTTCACAAGCCGGCTATTTTACACAATATATGTACACATGTATTTAACTTTTTCTTTCAATTAAAAAATCCAGAAATTTCACAAGGCATACGGGCAGCGAACCGAACAACGATGTATACAAATGCCAACCGAAACGAAAGGCTCACGATGAAGGAAAACGCTTCTGTTTCCTCGTCTTTTTTCCGGGTTCTATTTGCAGCAACGCAGGAGTTGCCATACACACACGCACGTTAAGATATTGTGGCGAATACTGCGGCAACACAAAGCGGACAACGAGAAATAGGCAGAATGTTCGAGGAATGACGTAGAATGTTCCACAAAGAGAAACGTCAAGTTGGATGAACACTGCGAACAGCGAGAAAAAGAGAATGAGCGATAAACTTCAGAACGTTCTAGAGTTGCCATAAGTGTGAGCGCAGGTATATAAGAGCCACGACACAGCGGAGTGGGGTCAGTTACAAGTCAGCAAGCTACAAGTAAAGTGAGCAGAGAAGCGGATTGCGAATAAGCAAGCTATAAGTTTAATTGTGTGTGACAAGTTCAGTAAAGCGTTGTAATTGCCTTAACAAGTATTGTAGTATTTTTACTGTATTAGCAAGTATTGTAAAATTGTTTGTTGTACAATAAAGTTAATTGTACTACAATTCGGTCATCGTTAGCATTTATTTAACAATCCAGCGATTCGAGCCCGAGTGTATTTGGGAAATCCCTCAAGGTTTCGAGGATAATCGTAACAATTGGTGTCAGAAGTGGGATTGTTAAATAAATCCCGAAGGATAAACTACTGAAAATGGCGAAAATTCAGGACTTAAAGATTGAGGAGCTGAAACAGGAGTTGGAAAAGCGTAATTTGGCCACCTCCGGAAGAAAAGTGGAATTGTTATCCCGGTTGCGAGAGGCTATGGAAGCTGAAGGCATCGACGTGGACAAATACGACTTCCAAGGTAAACCCGACGATACATCCGCAAAGGACGAACAGAAGGATGAGGCTGCATGTTCGTCGAAGGATGTGCAGCAGACATCCGGGAAGGTTGAAGAACAGCAAAAGGCTCCTTTGTCATCAACAGTTATGGACATGAACACGTTATTGGCTGCCATGTCACAGATGATGCAAGCACAGGATACACGCATGTCAGAGATGTCATCACAGCTGTCAACTCAGATGCAAACACAATCGTCAGATGTTTCAACGCAGATACAAGCGCTGGAGACACGTATATTAGCAGCGGTATCAGCACAGATGTCATCCCAACTGGAAGCACAGGATGCAAAGATTGTACAAATACAGGAAAAAATCGAAGAGAGACAGGACAAAGTCGAGGCTAAGATGGGCGAGTTAGAAGGTCGACTCCGAGACTTGCAGTTGAATCGTCCAGCTACTTCGACGAGCGCACCCAAGGTAAAAACCCCATCCTTTGACGGCACGATTCCTTTCCAGGTCTTTAAGCTCCAGTTCGAAAAAACGGCTGCAGCAAATCATTGGAGCATGGAGGATAAATCCGCTGCACTATTCGTTGCATTGAAAGGACCTGCGGCAGAAATCTTGCAGACTATTCCCGACTGTGAAAGGAACAGTTACGATGCGTTAATGGGTGCAGTGGAAAGACGTTATGGTAGCGAGCACCGGAAGCAGATTTACCAGATGGAGCTGGAGAATCGCTGCCAGAAATCCAACGAGACTCTACAGGAATTCGCCTCCGAGATCGAAAGGTTGGCTCATTTGGCAATTGGAGATGCATCTGGTGAGCACCTCGAAAGAGTAAAAATCCAGAGGTTCATCAACGGAATGCGGGACGTGTATACCAAGCGAGAGACGTACGCGAATCCCAAGCCAACATTTGCGGAAACTGTCTCGTATGCTCAGACGCGTGAAACGGCGGCGCTCCTAAGTAGACCAGCCTACAGAGCACATCGCGTGGAAGTGGAAACACCGGACGAGACAAATGAAATGCTGAAGAAGATTATCCAACTGCTGGGCGAGAAAAAGCATGGCTCTGGCAAATGTTTTAAATGTGGAAAGCCAGGCCACTTCGCCCGCGATTGCAGCGCAAGTTCCAGTGCGCTCAACAATTCAGCAGGACGCAAACGCAGGGCTGAAGGAGACGAATCCAACTCCAATCAGTCGTTAAACTAAAACGAGCCAGCAGCAAGGGGCGCGCGCTGGCTCCCGCAATTGAATGCCCCATAATCTCCGTCTCGCGAATTGGCAGAAAGGCGAGCAACGTTACTGTTGGTGGATATGTGGACGGACATGAGCGAGTACTAACTGTGGATACGGGCGCATCACATTCCATCATTCGATCTGATTTGGTCACTAAAGAGGTAAGGCCATTACCTGGAGCAAGGTTGAGGACAGCAACTGGTGAGGACACCCAAGTTGTAGGAGAGGTAACATGCAAAGTCGCAATAGGGAATGTGACGGTGTTACACAAGTTCATAGTCGCAGCGATTACGGATGAAGTCATCCTTGGATTAGACTTCTTGCTTGATCAAGGTATGCAGATCAACATGAAGAACAGGGCTATGACGTATAACAACATGGAAGTGCCCCTTAGGTTTGGGTATGATGGTCCGTACAGCAGCAAGCGAGTGATCCTAGAGAAAAGCGAGCAGATTCCACCGAAGTCAGAAGCAGTTGTGTGGGCAAAGATTGATGGAGATTGTGGGACAAACAAATTGTGGGTTGTTGAAGCAACACAAAATTCTACACCGGACGTACTTATTGGTAAAACCCTGGCTAAGACGCAAAAGGATGGACGCATCCCAGTTCGAGTGCTCAATGAGTTCAAATCACCAGTCAAACTCCGAAGAGGAACTGTACTGGGGCAATGTCGAGAGGTAGAGGCAATCTTCAACTGCGAAAAGTTACCTGAAAGCGATTCCATTGGCGAGAATGACATTGCGGAAGACATTAATGCATGGACGGAAGGGTTGGAAGAAAAATACCAGCACAAGGCTAAGGAACTTCTCCGAAGATACTGCAACATATTCGACAAGAATGGCGACAAACCAGGCAGGACTAACGTTGTGAAACATCGCATCGATACTGGCGATGCAAGGCCAATCCGTCAAGCTCCTCGGAGTGTTCCACTTGCCAAACGTGAAACTGTTAGCCAAATAATAAACGAAATGAGCGAGAGTGGTGTGATTGAACCATCAGCGAGTCCATGGAGTTCGCCGGTAGTACTTGTGAAGAAGAAGGATGGTCAAATGCGGTTCTGCGTAGACTACCGGAAACTAAACGATGTGACGAAAAAGGACAGCTATCCTCTTCCCAGGATCGATGACACTCTGGACTCGTTGACTGGAACAAAGTGGTTCTCAACACTCGACCTTAAGAGCGGTTATTGGCAAGTGGAGGTAAGTGACGAGGATAAGGAGAAGACAGCTTTCAGCGTTGGAGACGGTCTGTGGCAATTCACGGTGATGCCCTTTGGATTATGCAACGCTCCTGCCACTTTTGAACGACTCATGGACCATGTGCTCAAAGGACTACATTGGAAAACATGTTTGGTGTATCTAGACGACATTATCGTATTGGGTAAAAGCTTTGAGGAACACCTGAACAATTTGGAAGAAGTTTTCCAGAGGATAGCTGGCGCTGGTCTGAAGCTAAGTCCTAAAAAGTGCTCACTGTTCAGGAAGGAGGTGAACTACTTAGGGCACAAGGTGACAACGGAGGGCATCTGTACTGCGAAGGAAAAGATAGAAGCAGTAAAGGAGTGGCCAAGACCTAGGAACCTGCACGAACTACGAAGTTTTCTTGGGCTATGCACCTACTACCGCCGATTTGTTCCGAATTTCGCCAGCGTTGCTAATAGCCTCCACGAGCTCACTAGGAAAAATAGAGCCTTCGAGTGGAACAAGGAGCAGGAGGAGGCTTTCCAGGCTCTGAAGGAACGACTATGTACTGCACCTATGCTAGCGTATCCCGTTCCAGGGGCAACGTTTATTTTGGATACGGATGCTAGTGGGTATGCCATAGGAGGCGTACTGTCGCAGGTAATTGATGGGCAGGAGAAGGTAGTTGCCTACTATAGCCGGTCGATTGGAAAACCAGAGAGGAACTACTGTGTAACTCGGAGAGAACTACTTGCGTTGGTGGACTGCGTCAAACATTTCCACAAGTACCTTTATGGGCAACGTTTCCGAGTTCGAACGGACCATGCAGCGCTGAAGTGGCTGCTACAGTTTAAGAATCCAGAAGGACAGCTAGCTCGGTGGATTGAGAGACTGCAAAGTTATGACTTCGCCATTGAGCACCGCAAGGGAAGTGTCCACGGTAATGCTGATGCCATGTCCCGCCGCCCATGTAGCCTGGAATGTAAACACTGCTCAAAAGCTGAGGGAAAAGAGGACATTATAGACGTCCGTCTAACGACAATAACACCAGCGGAAGAGTGGAAGGAAGAACAGCTACGAAAGTGTCAGCAGGAAGATCCAGATCTGGAGCTTTTGATGCATGGACAGGAGGTGGACAGGAGGCCAACTAAGGAGCAAATGGCAGCGGAAAGCCCCATCGCAAAGGCGTACTGGGCACAATGGAACAGCTTAAAATTAATATCTGGCTGTTTGCATAGGGTATGGGAAAGCGAAGATGGCCAGTGCTCCCGCAACCTGATAGTAGTTCCAAGGGTAAGAATTCCGGATGTACTCAAGGAATTCCACAATGGTCCTAGTGGAGGGCACCTGGGAATCACGAAGACCCTGGAAAAGGTTAAGCAGAGGTTCTATTGGGTTGGTTGTCGGCAATCGGTCGCAGAGTGGATTGCTAACTGCGCGGAGTGTATTGCAGCTAAGGGGCCGAAATCCAGAAGTCATGGCCAGATGAAGCAATATAACTCAGGTGCACCTTTCGAGCGGATTGCCATGGATGTAGCCGGTCCATTTCCTATGAGCGCACAGGGAAACAAATACGTCCTTGTGGTTATGGACTACTTTAGCAAATGGCCGGAGGTATACCCGATTCCAAACCAGGAAGCTAAAACAGTAGCGGAGGTATTCACCTACAATTGGGTAGCGAGATACGGTGTACCTATAGAGCTGCACTCTGACCAGGGAAGAAATTTTGAGTCGGAAGTGTTCCAAGAGATGTGCCAGATACTGGGTATCCGGAAAACTCGAACGACGGCTCTTCATCCCCAATCAGACGGCATGGTGGAACGGTTCAACCGAACCCTGGAAGAGCATTTGCGGAAGGTCGTGGACAAGAATCAAAAAGATTGGGATGTCCGCATACCCTTGTTCCTGATGGGATACCGGTCAGCAGTGCATGAAACAACGGGTAAAACTCCTGCAAGGGTAATATTCGGCAGTGAGCTCCGTTTGCCTAGTGATCTGAAGTTTGGGGTGACTGGTGATGCTAGAAGGATTGGAAAAGAGACGTCAAACATCCTGGAAGAGGAGCTGAGAGAGATACATGCTCTTGTGAGACAGCGCACACAAATTATGAGTGACAAGATGAAAGCCAGGTATGATAAGGCGATGAATTCCGAGGGTTTCCAGGAAGGAGATTTGGTGTTGCTGTATAATCCACAACGAAAGAAAGGTTTGTCCCCAAAACTACAATGCAACTGGGAAGGTCCGTATAAGGTCGTAAAACGGCTAAATGACGTAGTGTATCGGATCCAGACCGTTGGGAGACCAAGAAACAAGATGAAGGTGGTCCACTTGGAAAGGCTTGCAGCGTTTGGAACCGCAAGTGTGTCTGATCGGGACGATCAGACTTAGGTGGAGGGCAGTGTGGCGAATACTGCGGCAACACAAAGCG